TGCATATACTGTTTTGATCATTTTACAGTATTTTACATTAATAAAAGTTTAAAAATTAATTTAAAAAAAACATAATATAAATTCAACGTAAATGATGCATTTTTTCTTAAATAAGAATGATTGAAAATCTCGTTGACCTTACTATCTTAGGCTTAAAGCCCCGGAGACAGCCTTGAATCACTCACCTTTTAGAGCCCTATCACCTATGCCCATCAGCTAGGCAATAAACCCACTAAAAAATCCCACAACTAACCACCCACTCCAGTAACAAATTATTCACAGCAACTCAATAAATTAAACCACCAAACAACGAACAAAACAAAAAGATTTGGATAGAATATCATCGCGACCAAGACCTCCTTTCCTAGTGCTGATCAACCAACCTACTTGCCCTCCCTCCTTATGTCCTCCGTTTTCTTTTATAAACTAGCTTCCTCATCCCCTGTACACATCATTCTTGTCTTCCAGCTCGTAGATCTTTCGAATTACCGCTTGCTTGTCTCCTCTGGCCACGATACGCAGTTGTTTGGCCACCTCCCAAGTGGCTTCCGCTTCCCTCCACTCTTCTGCCTCTTCCTAAACTCTAGATAACACTCTATTTCGACTCCGAAAACCACCGTCTGAGATGGAACCGTTTGCAATCTTATCAGATTGTTCGGTTACTGCAGAGATTTGTGCCTCCCTTCTATTCTTTTTAACTCCTCTTTTTGCTTTTTTGTTCACCCTCCCCATTAATTTCTCCTCCATATCCTCATAGAATTTCCACCTTTTCCCCTTTCTCTGAATCCCGGCAGTTCCTTTCCCAGCCCTTAATTCTTCTGTTTCTTCAACTATTAATAGGCGTACTTCCTCTATATCATTAAAGCGGTCACTCTCTTTCACGACTTGGCCCAGGCCCATTTGCTCCACTCTATCAAATGCAGCCTTGTCCAATGGGCCTAGCTGATCCACTCCTTGCAAGGTTCTAGTTATAATATCCTTAATACTGTCTTCAACTTCCTCTTGTCGCACCTGATTCTTCTCTCCCTCTACCATTCATTCGACCATTCGAGCCCGTATTGTTGTTTCCTATGCTAGATCCCTGGGAATCGCTTTCACTCTGTGACACCCCTCTAATTCCATCTTGTTTTTTCCATGGCCCATATCATTACTTTCTCTCCTTCCAAGCAACATTTCCGAATTTCAAGGTGGTAATTGTAGCTTGTCCACTTTCTGCTTGCACGGCCCGTCTTTCTAAAATATTTGGCAGCTCTCTCCAAAGCAGAAAATTTCAATATAAAAAAAAAAAAGAATGAAGAAACGTAACCCAAAGGCCAAAACTAAGAAACAATGAATATGGGAAAAAAATAAATTATCGTAGAGTTAATAATTCGTGCATGTTAAAATACTAATAATTTAGATATATATCTTATGCTTTATTTAAAAATAATGTTTCATAATTTATGTCGATATAAAAGTATCAAATATTTTTTTTATTTTGTTAAAATTTTTTTATAATTTTTATTAAAATTTTAAATTATATCATTCTCATATTTTATATTTGTATCGTATTGTTATATCATTTTTTAAAGTATCATATTTAATTTATTATTTTTATAAGTATGGAGATCTATTAAGTGAATCTTGAATTAAAATGGAGCTTTCATTTGTTTTTTTTTTTTTTTTAATATAGGACATTGCAATTCAAGAATAAGAAAAAATACTATAAGAATTGGGATTTAAATCTCAAACTTACTAAATGTTTGGTTTTAAGGATATTATATAAGTTAATTGAATTAAATTTTAAATTCACTTTTTCTTAATGAAATAGTGTTTAGGATTATCAATTATGCATATTGTCTTGTGAGTTGATAATGTAATTGAAGGAATAATTAAGCTATAATTAACCCACAAAGAGTTAGTTTAATTGGTAAAGAAAAGACTTTCAATTCTACACTATCCGAAGTCCAATTCTTGTGGGGAACATTTCAAAAATAAAGTCTTGAATGCAACAAATCAATAAGGAAAATGCACCATTAAGATGTCTAAAAAAGAAATTAAATCTAAACAAAACTTGAAAATATCTCATATCATATTTTTAAAAAAACACTATGATTAAAATATGAAATTAATCTCTTATATATGACAAAAATATGTGTTATAATATACAAGTTCATAAACTTGATCGTTAAACACAAATAAAATTATCTTTATCAATTTTTTTTTTTATTTAGGTGTAATTAGTCACCTAATTAATCTTATTCATTTTAAAAAGATATCTTAAGCTTAACTCAAGCTTTTAAAAAAGTAGATTTTAGTCTCTGAAATCAAAGTAGGTTTAAGAGTATGGTTATGTGCAAAAAAAATTATAGGTCCTTACAATATTTATCCAATGATGCATTAGTTAATTTTGTGTTATCTATTAATCTTTAAAAGTTATCTATAAAAAAAATCCTCAAATTGAAAATTCTAGTTTTAAGAAATTTTCCTTACTTAAATTGTTTAGTAGTAATTTAGAAATATTTTTCTAACATCAAGAGTATTCAAGAAGATTGGTATTACCTTTGAAATGGCTCTTTCATCCAATTTTATTCTCAAAAGTTTATTTTTTAACATGAAGGAGACTGTAAATAAGGATTACATTTATAGATATTAAAATTTGATAATAAAATTTTTAAATATTATTTTTTAAAATTAATTACATAAAATAATTAGGTAAACTTCGAATTCGAGAATTGAACTCTACCATTGAAATGTTATTTCTTTTACTATTTTTCAAATTTTAAAACTTTACTAATGAATTAAGATAACGGTTTATTACAGCTTTTTTATTATTATTATTGTTATTATTATTATCTATACATTCCTATCACTAGTTTGCACTTGGTTCTATTCTTGGTATGCCAAAAAAATTCATGATTTTTTATGGTAATTCTTTTTTAAAAAGGCAAGATATTATTAACGAATATAAACCTCACTACGAAATCAATTAATTCCATCAAGTTAGATGTTTTTTTTTTTTAAATGACAGCACTTTAAAGTTTAATAAAAATATATTTCTAAAATTTAAATGTCGACAACTACGGTAGTGTTGGACTAATATTTTTGAGAAATAAAATTGAGTTTTTTTTTTCTATTAGTTTTTTTAGGATATGTTATAAATGGTTCAAGGTATGGAATCACAAAATTGATTGAAGCAAAAATGATATGTTATATAATCAAGTTTTTTAGGTCACATATGAAATGAAACATTACAAAAGACTAATTAAAACTAATGATGTAATTTATTTTAATTGAATTCCGACATTCAATCAAAATGAAAAGACAAAAGAAATTGCTCAAAAGACGAAAGAATTGCAGATGGGAGAAAGCTAGTGTAAATCCTTTACTAAAAATCCATTAATTTCCAATCAATCCCATTGATTGTAAAAAAGTGAGTGAATAATCAAAGTAAATTATAAACCCCAAAGACCCGTCTTAAAGAAATTTAATAAAGTGTTTGTAGAAGAAAGACTTTGGTCTCATCATAGAAGACTCGGTGCTATCTATGTCATATGATAACTGTTTTAAAGATGTTCAATTGGCTTTTCCTTTGATCATCTCCTTTATCATTAAAAAAAAAAAAAGAATTTTGCTTCTTTTTCAAATGTCAACATTTTAAATTTAATATAAAATATATCTTTAAAATTTTTTAAATATTAACGACTAAACATGTGTTCCGCATTGTTTTGTGTTTTGTAATTGTTTTCACTTTTTTTGAGGAACTAGACTTATGAATTCAATTTCACACATGAATTGATTTCTACTTTTTCAGAAAATATAAACATTGTCCAGAAAATATTTTTTAAAAGTCCATTTTCGTAAAATGAATAGAGCCAAAAATTCAGTTATGAATAAGTCTAACTTTAAACTTTCAATAATGAATAAATAAATAAACTCCCCAACATTGACTTAAAGCGATAAATGGTGAAAAGACAAATGAAAATTCATTGAAATTCACTTATGTGCGTATGGAAGAAGTAGAAACCCTGTGTAAAATTCCTTACTTAAGCTTTCTTTTTGGTAACTATCAAAATAATTTCCTAATGTTCATTTCTTCATTTTTCTTATTTGGATGTTTAAAATATTTGAAAGTTAATTTTCACTAAAAATATTTTTTCAAATGTTTATTTCAGATTATCAAACGGAGCCTCAAAATACATTTAATTTTCAATTAATTCCATTGACGGGGTAGCTGAGTCAATAACCAAATTAAATAACCCACAAAGACCCGTCTAAGGAAAAGCTTAAAGCGTTTGGAAAAGAAAGACTTTGTCCCATTATTATAGAAGACTAGTTTTATCAATATCGTATGATAATTGTCCCAATTCCTTTTTAAGTAATGTTTGGTGTATAATGTGATGAATAGAACAAAATAATTATTTTTAAGAATTTTGCTTCTTTTCATAATGTATTAGCATTGTCTATTAATGGGTTCATTCCAAAAAATATTAGAAATTTAACACTTTTCAAAGAAGTATTGGGTTTAAATAATTTAGAAGGTAAGGTATGAATTTGCCTTTAAAATGCATGCGAATTCAAGTAGTGGGGAACAAAACAGCTGTCATTACATGTACAGATCAAGACTTTAATGGTTAGAATTGCATAATTATTTGCAATAAACTGATGGTGAAATGAATAGAAAGGAATATTTTAATTTCGATTAAGAAAATGAATACAAAAATGGGTTTTCAATCTCCATCATGAGGACATATAAGGTCAAGCAACGGAGAGGAAACTTGTGAAACTAATGGAAAATCTTACTAGAATTACTTTCCAATTGCAATGGGAACAACAAACGTGGTCTACCTTATTTAAGCAAGGTTTATGGGGTCTCCCTTGTTCGTCCTAGCTATCATTTTATCAATTTAGATTCCTCTTTTTCGAACTCTTTTCTTGATACGCATCCCAAAATCATGAACAATACCTATTTCCTTTTTCTTTCATTTTTGTTTATGCAATGTTTCATGGCTAGCTTAGCTATGACTGTGAGGAATCTCGCCACCGATCAATTTGCACTTCTCCAGTTTAAAGACCATATCCTTGATCCTCACAATGTCTTGGCAAACAATTGGACAGACTCCAGCTCTGTTTGCAACTGGCTTGGTGTTTCTTGTGGTGTCAGACATGGAAGGGTCACATCCTTGACTCTCCCAAACATGAATTTTACAGGAACTATCCCTCCATGTCTTGGAAATCTCTCATTTCTACTCTATCTCAACTTGAGTAGGAACAATTTCTATGGCAATCTACCCCAAGAATTGGGCCAACTGCATCGTTTGAGGCTCTTTCATTTAAGTTTCAACCGCCTTAATGGGGCGATTCCATCATGGCTTGGGAAATTACATAGGGTTGAAGAGTTGAGAATGAGAAATAATAATTTTACAGGCACAATTCCTCAAACACTTGTTAACATGTCCAAACTAGAGATCTTGGACTTGGGAACCAATCAACTATCCGATCAGATTCCATCTTTCATCTTCAAGATTTCCTCTTTGAAAAAGATTTATCTCCAAGATAATAGTCTTTCTGGTAGTTTGCCAGATGATTTGTGTTCCCATCTTCCTGAACTTGAAGTTCTTTACTTTTTCAAAAATGAATTATCCGGTTATATTCCATCATGTATAGGCACATGCAGCAAGCTTCAAAAATTAGCATTGTCTGGTAATCAATTCAATGGGTTCATTCCAAGAAATATTGGAAATTTAACACAACTCAGAGAAGTATTTTTGGGTTTAAATAACATAGAAGGTAAGTTTTAATTTGATTTCTTTAGTCTAAACACATTTTCATTTCTTTTTCATTTTTTCAATGCAAAACTTTTAATTTTCTAAACTAATCTACTGAAATAATTAAACAAAAATAGGTAGTCAAGCTAATACTTTGATTGTTTACCTTGTCTGCAGGTGAAATTCCAGCTTCCATCTTCAACATTTCTTCTCTGACCATTGTTTCTCTATCACAAAATAATTTATCAGGTAGATTGCCTGATGATACGTGTTATCATCTTCCCAAGCTTGAGGAGCTTTACTTGGATTATAATCAATTATCTGGTAATATTCCATCAAATATAGGCAAATGCTACAATCTACAGTATTTGACATTATCTACAAATCAATTCACCGGGCTCATTCCAAAAAGTATTCGGAATTTAACCATGCTCAAAGCAATATATCTAGGTGAAAATAGATTGGAAGGTATGCTTTCGCTTTTTTTTTTTTTTATCTATATTAAAAGCATTCTATTTAATTTTGTTTCTTCATTTTAGTTAATAATCTTTTTAGAGTTATTTGGTTCACATAGTTTTTTTTTTTTTTTATTTTTTAGTGCCAAATTTAACCTAATAAGACTCAGAGCTAGAATATTATTATTTGTATACTAAAATATGGTCGCAGCAGCCCGTCTCCAACCTCTCTTTGCTACCATAGACTAGGTAAATTTTTTTTATAGGTAATGTTTGCAACACAAATTGAATTATTCTAGTTCAAGAAAGCATGTAGCACTCTGATTTTTTCTTTAAACATAATAATGGTTAAAGTAGTTAATCAATCTGTGATATCATTTAAACTATAAAAATGATTTCTTTTTAGAAAAATTTGGCAGCAATCTCTAATGAAGAAAATTTTAGTATAAAAAATTTTTTAATAGAAGGAAGCCTAGCCAAAAACTACGAAACAGTGATTCGTAATGGGGAAAAAATGGAGTACTGTTATTGCAGGCACCAGCTAAGCAAAGCTTGAAGAAAATTGTAGGCTCAAAAAAAAAAAGAAAGGCCTAATTTGGTACATTTGTTTTCTTTTTCTTGATGAATTAGTATTCAGGAATATCAATTATGTGTAGAGGTGGTAAAATAAACTAGAAAATTAGTTAAAAAAACCCAAACCCGTACGAATTAGATTTAAAAAATAAAAAAACCCAAATCTAAAAAATAAAATAAAATAAAATCCAAAATGTCTCAAACTAAAATAATCCAAAATCTGAAATTGTTTGAACCTAAAAAAATTCAAAACTCAAACTCAACTAAAATTCGAAAAGCATGCTAAAATAATTATATCTTTCATAAAATCTTTAAAAAAAAGAAAAAAGCTGACTAACCCGAATCTGGATTCAGTTATATTCCATCACGTATAAGCAAATGCAGCAAGCTTCCAACATTAGCATTGTCTATTAAATAGTCAAAATTAAATATTGAAATTTACTGTACAATTTATTTGATATTATATTGATAATTAAATATTAAATAAATGTTTTTGTTGGTTTTTTAAAGTATTTTACATTAATGAAAGTGAAAAACTAAAATAATCCAAAATCTGAAATTGTTTGAACCTAAAAAAATTCAAAACTCGAATTCAACTAAAATTCGAAAAGCATGCTAAAATAATTATATCTTTCATAAAATCTTTTAAAAAAAATGCTGACTAACCCGAATCTGGATTCAGTTATATTCCATCACGTATAAGCAAATGCAGCAAGCTTCCAACATTAGCATCATCTATTAAATAGTTAAAATTAAATATTGAAATTTACTGTACAATTTATTTGATATTCTATTGAAAATTAAATATTAAATAAATGTTTTTGTTGGTTTTTAAAAGTATTTTACATTAATAAAAGTGAAAAAATAGTTAAAAATAGCATTGTCTATTTATTTGTTTCTTCTTTTTAGTTCACTTTTTTAATGAGAGTTATTTTCGTCATATATAGGTTTTTACAATTTTTTGAGTGCCAAAATTTTTTATATATATTTTTTATTTGTATATACTAAAGCATGATCCAAACCTATTTCTAGATTGGAATAAAAAAATATTTATTTTTGAAAAAAATTAAGTGCTCAATTTTACTTTAAAAATCGTTTGGTATTCTATTGAAAATTTAACACTAAATAAACTTTTATTTTTAAAAAATATTTTACACTAATAAAAGTTAAAAAATAGAAAATTAAATAATTAAAATAAATATAATATAAGTTTAATGTAATTAAGTGATAAATTTTCCTTAAATTAGAAAGATTGAATATATATTATATATGTAGCTTTTAACTATTTAGGGTTTCCAACACTTTCCATTGAAAATCTTCTATTTAACTGATTTTTTTAAATGAATTATCAAACACGTTGAAAAAAAAATCCTATAAATTTCATTTTTTGAAAATTTTTAATGATTTGTCAAGCACTATAAAATTATTTCTTTCCAAAATATGTGGTAGCACTCCCTAGAGTAGAAAATTTTAATGTAAAAAAAATTTAATAGAAGGAAGCTAACCCAAAAGGCCGAAGCTAAGAAACAGTGAATCATAATGGGATGAATCACTATTGTTGCAAGCACCGAGATCTATTAAGCAAGCTTCAAATAAAATGCAGCGTCTCGAAAGGCGTGATTTTGCACTTTGGGTTTCTTTTTCTTGATGAATTAGTATTCAGGAATATTAATTATGTGTATTGTCTTATAAACAAGTTACTAATATATTATAAACAAGTTACTTATATAATTGAAGGAATAATTAAGCTATGGTTAACTCGTAAGCTGTTATTCCAATTGATAAAGGGACAAATTTCATTTCCTTGACAACATACAGGTGCTGACAACTGCTGAATGCACTAAATTGATTTTGTATAATATATCCTAAAATCTTCTGGAGAGAGCTTAGACCCAAATGAAGGTACTCCATATAATAATAATAAAAAAAAGCTATGTTTAACTGAAGTACAAAATTAATCTATATACATGACAAATGTATAGATTTTAATCTCTTTCCTTTTATTTTTATAATTTAAAATTTTGTATATTTCTAGTAAATATGAATTCTGGTCTTTCGTCAACACCGTTCAAGTGGTGATGTGGCTATTTTGTTCAGGTGGTAAGTTGGTTGGCTCACGTAGATTTTTTTAAGGGTAAAAAAATTAAAATAAAATATTTATGTAATATATTTATCATTTTGTTTTGTTTTAATTTTTTAAGATAATGTTTGCTATGGGATAATTACTTTAAAAACTATGGTAATTTACACATAGTAATTAGATCATTGTGTTTGCTAAGAACTTGGTGATCCTACATAGTGGTAGTTTGAGAAGATCATCATGAGTGATCAAATCACTACTTTAGAGGATGATTTAATTCTCATGTAAAAAGGTAAGAAAATTTTCTCATTGAAGTGAAATTATATATAAAATTAACAATAATCAATTTTACTTATTTAATATATGAATTAAATTTTTGCTGCATCTTAAAATTCAAATTATTTCATATTATAAATTTTTATATTTTTAAACTAATATTCATTTTAATAAGTTCAAAATAATTTTTATATATTTTTTATTTTTAAATATTTTATACAATATAAATTTTTTAATTTTTTATTATAAATTTAATAAATTAATCTTATTTTCTAATTTAAAATTTTTTTCGTAATTTATATTATTAAAATAAATTTACCTATCAATATATATATTTATTAATTTAATAATTTAATTATATTATATTATAAAATAAATAAATATTACTAATATTTTATAAATTATTATCTTTAAACAACCATAAAGTTATTAATTTATGTATTTATTATAATATGTAAGGTTATTTTTGTATTTTTAAACAAAATAATGTTTGATTTTTGTAATGTCAAATGCAGTGATATTTAATTTCTAAGAATAGTCATTGTTAATCAAACAAAGTGATTTTAAATCATGAGTGTTAAGATCACCTTAATAATAATATTACTCCAATAATTACATTACTATAGTGATTCTACTTTAGATATCAAATGCTACTTAAAAGAATTCGGAGTGTAATTTACTTAGCTTATATGATCACCGTTAAGAGATGACATTCTCAATAGATTCAAAATTCAAATTCTAATATTTACAACCCTTTCCCCTATCTTTGATCTATCACTTCCTTTGTAAAAAACTAAACACACAAAAGTTGGCAGTACTTGTCCTACCATCAATTTATCGATTCACAAAATTAATTCATCCATGATATTTTATGGAAAGATTGAATCCACGTTTAATAAATACAAGGACATAAATAATGAAAAAAAAAGAAGAGAGATCATAATCCATAATTTTATAATAAAAAGGACAAAAATTTACTTTAGCCGTTAAAACCCATAATTTCTAATATTTGTAACTGGCGTATTATTAAGTTTAGTGTCATTTGATTAAAAAAAAAAAAGAAATTCTAAGCTTCATCTTATTTCAAGAATTAGACAAAAATCATCCCATTTGATCCATTAAATTAAATGTCAAATGCATTTACGTGTGTTTATTAGCTTGATGGTAGTAATTAATACACCTCACTTAGAAAACAAAGATCTTAATTTAAAAATAAAATAAAGTTATAAGTATTGGACAGTTAATCAATTGGTGGATGATCGATTTGTATAAATTTTTCTATGAAAATAGACATAAATTATACACATATACATTTTTTTCTTTCAAAATTTAGTTTTTTATAATCAAATTTTTATGTATATATATGAAATTTGTGTAATTGTTACGTGTATATATAATTCTTCTCTCATTGACAAAATTATGGTAAACATTGAATAAAGATGTAACTTTTTAACAGGTAACTTACCACCTATGACCAGCGTTCAAAGGCTTGAAGAGCTTGTCCTATGGGGAAATAATCTTAGCGGAAACATTCCTAACTTCATCCCAAATGCTTCCATGCTCAAGGTTCTTGAATTAGAAGATAATTCCTTCTCTGGCATTCTTCCAGATTCTCTTGGCAACTTAAGACACCTTGAATTGTTGGATATTAGTTTCAATCATTTGACCACAAAACCTGCTACTCATGAGTGGAGCTTTCTCTCTTCTTTGGCAAATTGCAAGAATTTGATGGTTCTATCAGTTTCCAGAAACCCACTGAATGGCATTCTTCCTACTTATATTGGGAATCTTTCAACATCTCTTCAACAATTTTTTGCTGGTGATTGTGAGCTTCAAGGTCATATACCGTTGGAAGTCGGTAACTTAAGCAACATGTTGCTTTTAGAGCTTAGCAACAATAAAATAAGCGGATCTATTCCGGTCACAATAGGTGGACTAAGAAATTTGCAACTTTTGAATCTCGAAATGAATGAATTACAAGGGCCCATTCCACAAATTATTTGCGGTTTGAAGAGATTGTTTCATTTGGGATTATCTTATAATAAGCTTGGAGGACCTATGCCTACATGCTTGGGTAATTTGACTTCTTTGAGAAATCTTATCTTGGGATCCAACAAATTGAGTTCTACTATACCTTCAACCTTGTGGAGCCTTAAAGATATTTTAACAATAGATTTGTCGTCAAATTACTTTAGCTCCTCCCATCCACTTGATGTTGGATATTTAAGGGCACTGATGTATTTAAATTTGTCAAGGAATCTTTTGAGGAGTGATATCTCATCTACAATTGGGGGCCTTGAAACTTTGGTTTCTTTAGATTTATCTAATAACAAATTTCAAGGTCATATTCCTGAATCATTTGGTGGCTTGATTAGTTTGGAATTCTTGGATTTATGCAATAATAATATCTCTGGAGTTATTCCCAATTCTTTGGAGAAACTTTTGAATCTAAAATATTTTAACGTGTCTTACAATAGATTGGAAGGAGAAATCCCCGCTGGAGGACAATTTCGAAACTTTTCTAGCAGATCATTCATGCAAAATTATGCACTTTGTGGTCCACCTAGATTGCTAGTCCCGCCTTGCAAGAATACAGTCCACAAAAATTCCAAGATGACCATATTGCATGTTTTAAGTTATGGTTTACCAACAATTGCTACTGTAATAGTAACAATACTTTGTACTATTATGTACAGAAAATACCAAAGTAGGAGTATAACTCCACCAGCTAAGGAAGGTTTGTTATTTTTGAAAACATGGAGAAGAATTTCACATGCTGAACTTTTACAGGCAACTGATGGATTTGACGAATGCAACTTGCTTGGTTCAGGGAGTTTTGGATCTGTATATAAAGGGAGGCTTTTAGATGGGATGAATGTTGCAATAAAAGTTTTCAACTTGCAGATAGAGGGAGCATTTAGGAGTTTCGACACTGAATGTGAAGCTTTGCGTAATATAGTCCATCGCAATCTTGTCAAGGTCATTACTTGCTGTTCCAATGTGAACTTCAAAGCCTTGGTGTTTGATTTCATGCCTAATGGAAGTCTTGAGAAATGGTTACATTCTGAACACTGTTTCCTTGATATCTTACAAAGGATCAATATAATGATAGATGTTGCATCAGCTCTAGAATACCTCCATGCTGGACAACCAACTCCTATAATCCATTGCGACCTAAAGCCAAGTAATATTCTACTAGATGAAGACATGGTTGCGCATTTGGGAGATTTTGGCATTGCCAAACTATTGAAAGAAGATGATTTCATGAGACAAACCATGACGCTTGCAACTATTGGATATATGGCACCAGGTGATCTTTCGAATACTTATGGTTTTTTTCTCTCTTTTTTATTTATATTTTTTTGTGCTTGGGATTTTACATGATATGGTTCAACAATCATTTCAGAATTGGTTGATGATTAATAACTGTTTTAATTATGCTTGAAATGCAGAATTTGGATCAGTAGGAATTGTTTCTGTAAAATGTGACTTATACAGCTTCGGGATTCTTTTAATGGAAACCTTTACAAAAAAAAAGCCAACGGATGAAATTTTTACTGAAGCAATGACTATGAGACATTGGATGAAAAGGTCACTGTCTAAAGGAATGATTGATATTGCGGATGCCAATTTATTAAGAAGAGATGATAAATATTTCATTGTTAAAGCAAATTGCATATCATCCATCATGGAGTTAGCTTTGAAATGTTCGGCTGAGTTACCTGAGGATAGAAACAATATTGTGGATGTTGTGGCTATGCTCAAGAAAATCAAACAGAAGTTTCTAATCAGCATTGAGCATGTTTAATATGGTATGAAACATGATTTTTTCTTGTTATTGATGTACTCTTTATTTGGCCTGTAGCATTTAAATAAGAACCAAAACCCTAGTATATAACTATAAGACATTGTACCAATCTTTTTCAATCCCGTGCTATAAATTCTTAAAACTGTTAAAATAAATAAAACATACATGAAACTAATTTTCTCTCTTTCCTCTCTCAATGGCTCTCATTCACTAGGTTTTCTCTTCTACATTCACTGTTCTTTGCAATTCAAAGTTTCATTGCAAACGAAGACAGAGACTTGGAGGCAAGAACCGTGCAGCAGGCTATCCAGTGAATTCCAATTTATGTTAGCATTGGGGGAATTTAGTTACTTTCTTATTTGTTGTGTTGATGATGTCTGTTTGCTTGGTTATGTCTTTTTATGTTGTAAGATGTGTTTATCTTTTGCTGATGATTTCAGTTACACTTTTGTTTATAGAATGATTTCCCCCTGCTTCTATCTGGTTAAATAAAATATTTATTTATCCAAAAAAAAGCTTTAAGGTAAGCATTTCAATTTTATTCGTCGGAAAATTTAGTTGTCTTGTTTTTGGCAATTAAAAATTTTGAACCATTCAGCTTTAGAAAAAGAGTTAAGCAGTTGCAGCTATCTTATGTAACATAGCAGATAAGCGAAAACACCAAGCTAAGAACAAGGTATGGATTTTTACTCATATTGATTATTGAGATTTAAGTAAATTTAATTTGCTTACTCTATGAAAGTTGAGATTTCCTAACATTAAACTTATCTAGGTTCCCTGAATTCCTCATACGTCGCAATCAAAAGTGATTCCTCTAAAAATTGGAGATGTTAAGAGGAAGAGTTGGAGTTTTCAAACTTGGATTCTGGTCAATTTGGAACAACAGAATCTACACAATTACGAGTAAGTGATACTATTATAGCCATTGCTAGCTCAATTTTATGAAATTCTGTTCTTTCACATACTTTTGTTTTTGCCCAAAGTTGAATCAACTTCTTTTCTTTCCTTTTCCTTCATTCTATGGAGATTATTTAAGCTTATTCTCTGTTTGTTCATCTTATTTTCTGCATTTCCCTGCTTTTATGGTAGGCATATGACCAGGGTCTGCAAATCATTTAATTTGCAATGTAGTTGGAAATTTTGGGTGGGTACAATTGGCTGATTAATATGCATTCTTCGTTAGCAACATCTAGCTTCAAACAAACTACAACCAATTCAAAGTAAAAAGAAAAAAATTATGAGGCTAAAGATATCTCTTTCTCTATTTTTTTCTATGTTTTTTTGTTTATTATAATTAGAAATCCAGATTTGACATGCAACAATGACTTCTGGTTACTAAAACCACCAACAACAATAATTAATTTCTCCTTGTAATTGATCATTAATCTGTTGAGGGGGTATGATAATTGCTTCCAATCATGTTGACTGCATTTGTTTTGAGAAATCTGGAAAGAATATAATCAATTTTGACATTATCATTTTTACAATTATAAAGTTTTACTAGGAATAAATAATCTCAATTACATGTTTATTGCCTTCTATTTTACACTGATTAGAATCATTTCAGAAAAGAAAACCTTGTATTGTCTTATATATCCCAACTTATTTTGTGAGGTCAATGGTTCGGACTTGATGACTTACGAAATGATCTTCTCTCAAATGAAGTGGCTATCAATGACCCTGTTACAGAAAATCAGAAGAATTCTTAGCCTGGTATATGCCAAACTAACATGACGACAATGGCAAAATTTCTACTTAAAATTAAGGAGAATGTTAAGAGCAATGTGAAATTCTCAGATTTTGCCCTCTTTCTCTTGGTTAAATATGTGACATTTGTCTTGCTGTTGGCTATAGAAATAATAAAGGACCCAGCTCCAGATGATGAGTTAAAGCCATTGCAGCTGTTGTATGTAGCATAGCTAACAAGTCAAAGCCTTCAATTTAATATGTTTGAATTTTATTTTAAGATTGGATTTGTGAGAATTTTTTTATGATGTTTTTCACTGTTTTTTCAAGTCAAGGCATATGTCCCTAGAATAAGGCCCTTCGTTGAACTTAGAAAAGAAAATGAATGCAAATTCAAGGATTGAGGAATAAAAAGGCATGCCGTTATTGTACGGATCAAGACATTTCATTTCAATTTTTTTACAGTATTTTTTCTTTTATAATGTTGAGATTTTAATTTTATTCGCTACTTTATATATATGCAATATGAATTAGATGATACTTTTGAAATTTTTTTTCAAAAAAAAAGAAATCTCATTAAAAAGAATTTAACTATATATTGCAACACAATCACCTATATATATGTAGATATCTCAATTTGTCTGGAGGTCTATTTGGATTAATTTTGTTAATAAAAAGATAAAAAAATAATAAAAAATGAAAAATGGGAAAAATGAAAAAATAGGTGTTGAGTTTATATGAAATTGTATGAGGAGTTTAAGTTGAATTAAAAATTTGGAGTTAAAACTTAAAAGAGGCTAAAATCTTTTCTGGTTTAGAGTTCTCAAATTTGAAACCTTATAAATACATGCTCACACAGAGGTAGGGGACACAAAAAGCATAATACAAAGATTAGGGTGAAAAAAAGCAATCACGAAAACAATTAGGGATTTTTAGAGAAATTTTTGGGATTAAAAAGTTTTTTTTTCTTTTTTTTTTAAATCTTTTTGAAAAATTTTTAGATTTCAACGAAATTTGAAGTTTTTGGTGACTTTCCAATGACTTTTCTAGATTTTGACAAAGTTCTTAGTTTTTGGCATCCATTTTTCAAAAATCGATGAACTTTTTGCCAGATTCCAGTGAACTTACCCCGATTCTGATGACAATCCTAGAATCCAGTGAAGGATTCAACCAATGTTCTTGGGGGTTTAGAGAGAGAGGGAGAGAAAGAGGGAAGGGGAAATTTGAGGAAGAAAGACTGGATTCTTGCTATTTATTCCCCATCAAGATGGCATCATTTTGGCATTAAGAAACCCTCATGATCTGTGTTTTTATTTAGCCTAACCCAACTCGAGCGCAACCTACTTCGCTAACCCGCATCACAACTAGACCTTATAGCTGAGCTGAGCCGAGCCAATTTTCTTAAACCATGTTTTTGAGCTGCTTTTTGTGTTTTAAGCCAAGCTATTCTAGCCGAGCTGTTTCTATTTTTTGGTATTTTTATTTTTTATTTAATATTTTATTTATGTGTTTGTTTATTTTTTTAATATTTTTACATGATTAAATTTGTAAAAAATTAAAAAAATAGAAAAAAATAAAATATTTCTTGAGAATAAGTATTAATTATCCAATGATGAAATTTATAAAAATTTTAAATAGTAAATTTTTATAAAATTCCTAGGTGAGGAATTTTGTCTAAATTTGTCCTAAATTGTAGAATAATTTAGATAAAATTTCAAAAACAATAATTAATATTTATTTTCAAACAAAAAAATAAAAATAAAAAAAATAAAAATTTTTAAAATTTTTAAAAAATACTAATTAAATAAGGATGAAATTCTTAGAAATTTCAAATGGTAAATTTCTTAAGAAATCTCTAAATAGAAATTTCTCTAAATTTGTCCCAAATAGTGAAATAATTTAGAGAGAATTTCAATAAAAATAATTGTATTCGTTTCCAAATAAAATTTTTGATTGAAAATATTTGATAATTATCCAATGAGGAGATTCTTAGAAATTTCAAATGGTAAATTCCTAAGAAATCTCTAGTGAGAAATTTCTTTAAATTTGTCCCAAATGATGAAAGAATTTAAATGAAATTTTGAAAAAACTAATTGTCATATTAGTTTCTTTCCCCCCCCAAAAAACGAGAAATAAAAAAATTTTCTAAATAGGCCCAAATGGTGAAAATTTTAAAAATTCAAAAAGAGAATATTTCTAATTTGGCCTAAATGGTGGAATAATTAGATATATTTTCAATAATAAAAACCAAAATAAAAAATGATTAAACCTTTTTTTTATGACGGAGCTTCTTCAAAAAAATAAATGGGATTCTTGAATACTCTTGAGGTGAAAAAATATTTTTAAGAGTTTTGCCAGATTGATAGAGAATCTTAAAAGTTATTTTCAATATTCTACATAAAAATTTAATACCATTAGAATCAAGACCTTAGGATAAATTTAAAACAAAATGGTACTATCCTTTAGATGGGTATGTGGGGGTGCTATAACCTTCCTTATATGTAACCAAACTTTCGAACCTTGTTTTGGTTAATAGACCTGAACTTATTCTTTTAAGGACCCTTAGTCAAACTTAGGTGCTTCTTAAGAGAATAGATTCCTTATGTGGCTAATCACACCTGGTTAAAAAAAATTAGTGGCGACTTATTTTGTTAAGTCTAGCTATAGATTTTTAGATCTATATGTTATAATAGTTTGGCAACTTCACTGGGGATACTATAGAGAGTCAAGCCATAACATTTTAAATATATCCTATCCTTTGGTCTAATGGTTTTAAATTGTAATTATTTGTTTACTAATGTTTTCTTTTTCTGTCTTTTATTTTATTTATAAGGTTGACAATTATATGTTCCTTCAAACACACTCACATATATTTACATTACATGAGTTCTATACTCGGGCTTTGTCTCTCTTAGGAGGGAATAAAGTATCTACGCTCTTGTAAGATGATAATCTCTGTAATGGCTAGTGAAATACTCTCATTCAAATTGAATCCTTTTCGTTGGTAGC